AAACTGGCTCTATTATTATTATTGTTGTTGTTGTTGTTGTTATTTTGGAAGATTCTAAATCCATTACTATTTTAATAGACAGGAGTGTTATAATAACTGATATTAATAAATTGCAAGAAAAATAGAATGAGTTGTAATACTTGTTTGTATAAATCAATGGGTTAGAATTTTAAACAATGCTACATATGTCTCTTTTGATCTTAAGATGCTTTTAATTCAGATACATACATACATACATACATACATACATACATATATATATTTAGTGTACTAAACACTTGAGAGGATATTTAGTAAGGGCTGCATGTCAACTTCCAAATGTTGGAAGTGTAAAACAGTGGAGGGGATTTTAACACATGTTTTGAGCCTGTCCCATCAATGTTCCATCTTGGTTTAATGTAATTAAGTTTCTCAATACAGTACTGAGAAGAGGAAATAAGATATAAAGATGTTAATGTAATGTTGAACCATATACCAGAAATTTGGAACTTAACTATGTATGAATTACAGTGGACTTAGTTAAAAACACTGATTTATTTCACTGGAAAGACTCTGCTACACCAGATTTTAAATCATGGATTGTTGATCTGTGTTTACTTTCTACCTGTCAATTGATTTCATATCAATTAGAGGAGAAATTACCAATTACCATTTTCTGTGTAGTCAAGGTTTAATTTGTTGCTTAAAAACTCAATTCATTTTCTCTTTAAATACATATTCTAATATGTATAACTAATTGATATTATCTATGTATTTTTCTCCTTTTTGTTTTTTCCTTGATTTTTGTTTTGTTTTCATTAGGTTTCAATGTCTTATATTAAAAGACATAAAATTACTTTGTTTATTTACAAAATAAATGTTCAGTGTTCTACAAACAATATAAAAATAGCATAAAATTGATAATATAAACATTTAAACATCAATAAATAGAAAGTAAAAATATAAGCAATTTCTCAAATGACAGTAGGAACTAGAAATGCAACAGTAACTTAGAGTAAACAAGTATCAGAACAATTAAGGAAGGCTCTTAAACCAAAAAAATCTTCAGTGACACAGGCTGTATAGATAAATAATCTTGCAGACCTTCCTGAGTAAGGGATTGAATAGCATAGGCACAGTGGAGAAAGTTGTTTTCTTATGCACTCTAAGGAGGATTGTTTGGATTCAGATGGCATGAAACTCAATTATATCCATTGAATAAAATTAGTCTGGTTTTAGGTCTTCATGCAAAGAAGTAGTATAGCAACCCATTCTGTTCCATCCTGAGGAACAGGAAGCTACAGAAAATAGAAGCTACAGCTACACTCCAGTTTACCAAAGACAGGGTGAGGAACAGGATTGGATCAATTCACATGCTATCTTCCAGGCAGCCAAATGACCTCTATAGACAGGCAAGGACATCTTCCCAAGATCCTTCCCCCAATGCTGCAGCCACTTAAGTTCATGCAGCTCCCTGGGAATCACTGATTGAGTTTGCCTGGAATGTCTTCAAGCAATGGCTCCAGAGAAGCTGGCTTAACTCTTCCTTCATTTTTTCTAAGGCTAAGGTGTGGATGGAATGAAGCTTCAGACAACCTCTGTTCAAAGAGGCCAGTAAAATCTTCAGCCCACAGCTCCCTTCCTGGTCAGGAAAGGAAGACTATAGCAGTACAGTAGCAGTTCCACCAAAGAACTGCAGTAAGAAGTCACCAAGAGCAGTGGGCCTTTTCTTTGGCCAAAGATATATTTTTGCTCCCTTCTACCTTTCTCATCCAGATAGAAATTTTTCAGGGCTCATTTCTTTCATTCTTTCTGGTGGGTCAAACCTAAAAGAAGTCGTATGCTTTGGTTTGATGCTGTTAGGCTTTCTGGAAACTCTGTTTCTTAACAAGGTGCTTTCAAAATTCAAAGGCTAATTTCTGGTGCCCTGACAATCACAAAGGTTTGGGGGCTGCATTTGGTTTCTAGGGCATGAATTGTTCATCTCTATTGCAATTACAACAAGGTTATTTTTTGTTACTGAGGTGTATCTCACAAATACAAAGCAATTATTCATATAAATAATAAACAGGTAGAATATCTAGATAGGATATAAGCTATTAAGGTCTCTTTATGCCTTAAGTATCATAGGTTTCATTTTATTTTTTAAAAATCTGCATTTCTTACCCTCATATCACAAACCTTATATGCTATATTATCATAGGCACCAGTTTTGACATACATCTTCTTAAATTATCTAGTTTTCTTACCTGTCACAATAGGATATGATTGTGGTCCTGGAACACTGGCACCTATATCTGTTGATGTAGGGCTTGTTAAATTGGCCTTCATATCATCTAATCCACCAGCTAGTGATGTCATGGCTGAATATTCTGTTGACTGAGTTCAAAGAAAAATGAGATAATTTAGTAACATTTTCCATATATTAACGCCTAATGTATGATAACACCAAGCTAAGTGGTTCATTCCTATGTTGGCAGTGATGGCATTGGTGGGGTGATAATGGTGATAATGATGATTTTATATCTGAAGATTGATTTTACTGTTCAGATGCAGCGTGAAATGAAACAGTTTCAAACTATGATGAGATATTATGCCAACATGAGTCCTGCAAGCTTCAGTTATTGTGTTAGCCAACAAAAATTAGTTCCTCAGATTATTTGGCGGACAAGTCACCAGCACTTCTTAATGTGAATCACAAGGTAATCTCAAAAAATATATCTGATTATTTGGGGGGAGGGAGGGATCTCTGTATGACTCCTGCAAGCTTGAAGGTTCTGACAGTTTATTTCTGTAAAAACCACGAACTATTAAGCATGACAATGGTATTGTTTGTTTTGTTTAATAATGTACTGGCAGTTTTTTTTAATAGTTTTTAAATGCAAGGCATCCTCTGTTGGATAGTTTATTATAGAATTGCCATTTAACATGTTCCCAAACAAGGAACACTGCGTGAAACACGAGAAAATTATATTCTTGTGAGACATGAACATTTTAGTCTTAGAATATGTCCCCATTATAATGCGTTAAAATAAAATTGCATTTTGCAATTACAATGCATCTCACCAATACATAGAAGTTGATAAATATGAAATCATTCCTTCAAATAAAGAACAGATGGCAATCTATTGCCAAGTAGCAAATTAATATTAGAACCAGTAAAGAAGTATCAAGCCAACTATATGCATGACTGTAACAATTATCAAGCAGGAGGCAGACTGCCCTGTTTACCTGACCTTTTGGTTAATGGTTTGTGTTGTATTAATTATGTTTGTCTTTGGTTATAGTTATAGTTATAGTTGTTTGTTGTGATTTGTTGGTTGCAGATATTGCTCTGTTGTTGTTTTTTAACTGTTGCTTTGTGTGTGTCTGTATTTAAGCAATGATCTTAAGAATGTGCCACCACTGTATTTCTGTTTTATCTTCTCATGCAGGACAGCGGCATAAAATATTTAAATAAGTATAAAATAGCTCAGAGAAAAAGCTAACAAGCTCCTCCTGTGCATGCTAGCATTGAAATAAGCTGCCTCGGTTTAACATGACATAGATATGCATTCCTGCGCATGTTTCCTTGGAAATTAAGCTCCCTTATTTCACTGGGTCACTAAAAGAAAAATGGTGGAACATACCTACTTAGGGGCGTGTAGGCAGTGATGCATCATCACTGCACTTTTAATCCCAAACTGCCCACTCGTACAGGAGGAAGGATACTGTAGAACAATCCCTGACCTTGTTTCATAAACCCATGCTTTATTTTCATAGTGATTCCTTTTAAAAAATACATTAATGATGTGTATTATTTCAGTTATTTACTCTGGGTAAACTGGAACCACCAATGTGCCCTTGATACTTTGGTCAGACTTCTTTAATGACCACCTATTACCCACAAGACATAAAACAAGACAAAAAAATAATTCTCCTGCTCTGAGCAGTTGGACTGTTCTCTTCAGAAGTGTATTTTTAAACAAACAAACAAACAAATAAAAATAACGAGCCTATCCGTTTATTTGTTCATAAGAGAGCACGCTTTGCATATAATTTGTAAACTGCATCCTCAGACAGGATACAGCTCTGTTGCACCTTCAGGTGAAGCCTGACTCCAGACGAAGTGGGCAATTTTGGACAGGTTTTGTTTGTCAGATGTCCCATTTCAAGGACCTTCACAAAATTCTGTCCCCAGTTTGTTTTTCCAGCTCTCCATTGCCCTATAAATGCAGCTGTAGCCCAATGGGGGAAATAATCAGAACTTTTTGTGCTTGTGGGTGTAAAATACCCTGTTGCAATTCAACTTTTTCAGTAGATGGGAAGATCCCAGAGGAAGCATAAGCAAGCAGCTGGATAGACTGATAACAGGAAGGGCAGGGAGGGGAAGTCTCATTCAGATAAATCTCTAAAAAGATTACTGGGACATGGGGAAAGTATAGACAACCTCAAGCCCAAAACTATATGACTCCTGTGTTGCATGACTGTGAGAAGCCTGCTCCAAATCCCTAGAAAAAGATAGATCAGGCTGGCTATTTGCATTTTGAGAAGGGAAACATTTTTCTCCTCAAAACTGATATTTAAGCTCTTGCTGCTCCTCTTGCATTCTAAGTTGGATTTCAAGCCCTAGTCTGACTCCCAATTTCCTATCATGAGGTTAAGCAAGCAGGTGTTATGGTCAAAATACCAAAAAAAAAAAAAAAAGCAAGTGATACAAGATGCTCGTGATAGAAAATTGGGAAATCTTTTTCTAGAGATTTGAAGCAGGTCTCTCAGTCATGCAATACAGGAGTCACAGAGTTTTGGGCTTGAGGTTGTCTATATTGTACAGAGAGATTATGGATCATCGGCTTCCTAGGAGAGAAAGGAGAGAGAGTGGAGGCATGGAGGCATAGAGAAGACACACGTGTCCCTGAGGCAGGTATGGATGTGTATATGCATTTTTAACAAATTAAAGAGAATTCTCCTAGCAGGACAATCCATATATGTTTACATGCCCATCATACCATTTCTTTCTGGAGTAAGCAACTTTATGTAGTGCAGAGAAAAGGAGCGAGAAATAGTAAGTCAAAGAATGTAAAGATATGAGAAATGAGAAAATGAGAAAAAGAAGAGGAAACATGGCTAAATCTAATTTGCACCAACACCATAACTATCTCTCTCCATACCTTTCCATTCTCGCAAGCTATCCTTGCTTCAACTACATCCATACAGCACTTCATACACCGCCTTTTGTTCTTTAAACTTCTCACTCTCTTTATTTTTGTGGAGTTTGTCAACTCCATTCAACTTCTACTTTCTTGGTCCTCCCCTTCCTCTCAACCCATTCAAGTCTTCCTTCAAATATTTGTTTTGCAATTCATTCTTTCTATATGACTAAATCACCTCAGTGTACTGGTCACTCACTTTTGAATTTAATTCACATTCACCCAGCATCCAATCATTCTTGATCCTCTCACTTCTTGATTTACCACTCACTGTTCTTAAGTTACCTATTCCTACTGCATTTAAATTGTTTGTATGTTTTGCCTGACATAACCAAGTCTCATTTCCATAGAACCAACTGGGCAGAAGCTTACACAGCCATTTTTGCTTCTTTCAACATTCATTTCTCCCAACAGATGATATCTACCCACCAGCTTTCTACCAGCATTGCCATAATTGAAAAAAAAAATTCTCCATCCATTTTCCTATCTTTAGTAAATATTCTACTGAGGTATGTAAACACAAATTCATTTAGTTCCTCTAGTTTTTGTCATTTATGTATAACTTGCAATCATTTACCCTTTTTTCCTGTTTAACACAACTATCTAACTCTTTGATACATTAATTTTCAGATTCATAATTCGCTTTGCATCATACAATTTAACATTCCCTGCAAATAATTCAGCTTCTAAGCCAGCAAAGTGCCATCATCTTTATCTAAAGGGACACATATATCCCTAACCAAAAGACTTCTTATATCACCAAAAACATTCCTTATATATTTTTCCATAAATATATTAACAACAAGGGAACATCACACATCCTTGTCTTTCTCCCTGATCAATGCTGAGTCATTTGCTAAGCATTCTATTTATTCCCATGCATGTTTTACTTCGATCCTTTCTTATTCTATTAGCATTCAGCAATCAAATTTCAACTCCATCGCTGGGGAAAACACTCCATAATTTAAACCTATTCATTTCATTTCTTTGTTCAACCATCATACAACATTTGTTTTTTCTCTCACTCATGTTTCTCAATAACTTTCTGAAGAGCAAAAACTGCTATGCCCTAAAGCTGTACTGTACTTCCCAGATTTTTTCTTCTACTTCTTGGACACTTTTAGCCAGAATTTAGTCAAACACCTATCCAGGCACACTAATCCCCCTGTAGATTTTGTATTCATTCTTTCAACCTTTCTTCTTGGTATACGGAACAATAAGAGCATTCTTCCCATACTTCACATACTTAGGCAACATTTGTAGCATTAGTTTCCAGTCCACTTTTCAACATATCAACACATTCAACATACAGTCATTAGGAATCAGGCATATACATCTATCAGCAATATATATCAGCAATAATATATTATTGCTGGTTGCATAGTCAGCCAGATGTTTAGCCTGGATTTGGCATTTTTATCCACCTATCGAGTCCTTGCCAAGGACTTGGGATCAGCAGACGTTGTTGTTTGACAGTGTTAAAGGTATCGTCGCAGGATATAAGCTGTTCCAAGTAAAACTGCCTTTTGCAATTGACTGATGGTGATTCTGTCAATGCCGATGGTCTTCAAGTGGTGCTCCAGGTGTTTTGGGATTGCACCTAAGGCACCTATTACTATTGGTACTATCTTTGCTTTCTTTTGTCATAGTAATTCTACATCTATTTGCAGATCTAAAATTTTGTGATTTTCTCCAGTTCTTTCTCTTCATTTCTGCTGTCTCCAGGTATCGCAATGTCCACTATACAGAATTATTTGTCTTTCTTATCAACAGTTGGGGTGTTGTGTGGCAGGTGCTTGTCTGTTTGAATTCAAACGTTGCAGAACACTTTATCTTCTTCATTTTCTACTACTTGGTCTCTTTTGTGGTCCCACCAATTCTTGCTTGCAGGCAAATGGTATTTCTTGCAGATAATCCAATGCACCCTGGTTGCTGCTTTGTCATGCCATTGTTTGTAGTCAGCCTGTGCGATCTTCTTGCAGCAGCTAATTAGGTGGCCCACAGGTTCTTCAGCTTCTTTGCAGAGGCAGCATTTGCTGTCTGTTGCTGTCTTCTCAATTCTGGCTTTGTATGCATTTGTTCTTAAGTTATTATTATTGTTATGTCACTAACATTCCTATACCAGCCTCTAACATAGTCCTTCTAGCAGTTCCTCAATTCAATTTCTTCCCATATCATTTCATCACTTTT